AAAGTTTACCTCGAGACCACTGTGGTGAAAAAGTGGAAAGAGCTCAAAAATGAGCATGTATCATCGGCTACTGTTTTCCCTAGTTTGCGACGAAGATATAATGTGTACTGCAATTTCAAAAATATGCAATTTTCAATCAAAAACAGATGTACTACCTCGATGAATCGTATCGTATCGCCATTGACAAGGCAAAGAAATAAAACAGGCAGCTGTTGTAGAATGTCTGTGCTTGCTGCGAATTTATCGTCTGACACTATACGATCTTCGCTGACAGGTAAACATAAAGAATCTAACAACATTCGTCGCACGCGTGATCGCGCAATCTGAAGGTAAGAATCTTCTCCACATGCTACAAACGTAAGAAACGACTATTACTGCGCAGTGCCATAAATCAAAAATTCTTCCTCACTCTTACCTTAACAAATGTAAAATGAGTAGAATCACAATCATGCCAACTCAGGTCAGCCTCGGTTTCTAAAGTGCTCAGCTGAAGAAGACCAGGCAATCTGAATGGAAATTGAACTCATCTGACAAGGCTAAAAACGCGAAAGACGGACCCTTTAACATCTAGCGATGTAGAGCTGATCACTTCAAATTCCAGATTCGAGTTCCTATCGTTATCCGAAAGATCGTCGGCGTCGGAAGAAACACTACTAGCTTCACCACCGTCGCGATCTTCTAGAAACAGAGAAGAATTTCGAAGCAGAACTACGGGGAAACACTTGGTATTGGTAAAAATGAAAATTAGAAGATAAACTTACCAATATAAGATTGTTGCTTTCGAGCAGTGCTCAGCAGCCACTGCATCCATCGGCTTGGAATTTGCTCTGCCAGCCCTTGGAGAATGGCTGTAAAACACTCAATGATATACTACTTATTATATATGCGTAACCTAACGAACATATCAAAGGCCTCTGGCTGTCAATCCTATCCATACCGTTGCACAGGCGCAGATACATTATTTTATAGAGATGATACGGAATAGACTGAAGTGAAATGCAGTTAAAACTTTGGAAAAATATGCAAATGTTCCTTATCATACACTCACGTCAAAAGATTCCCATACTCGCGTTTCCTTCA